GGGCGGCCGCGGGAGCGCAGCGCCCGCCGCCCCTCGCCGCGGCCCGTCCCGCCTGCGCTGGCGTTGCTCTCGTTCCTGCCGCGGTGGCAGCCCGGGGGGCAGTCGGAGGACGGCGTAAAGCCGGAGGGGAAGGGTCCAGAGCTGCCGTGCTTGTTATCTAATTGAACATTCAAAGTAAATATGAGGTAATTTCTTTCCCTTCTTGTAAGTGTTACGCTTAGAGAGAAAGCCCGGGTAAAATAAAAGCTTTGCCGCGCTGTTTTTCCCCTCTCCTGAGAAGCCGACGTGGTGGGAAAGGGGGAAAACCCAGCTCTGCTTCACTCCTGAGGAAAACCCTCGCTCTGCTTCACAGCCGACGCTGAAGTAACACCTCCGAGTGCCACAGCCCCACCTTGGGGGCCCGACCCAAACCCACGGCAGCTGGTTGGCGCGTTTGCAGCAGAGCAGCACCCCGCATCTTCGCGGCCGAGCGTGAAGGCTTGCCGTGCTTTCTGACAGGAGCTTTCCTTGCCTTCGACAGGTCTTCGATCGGGCGCAACAGCATCATCCTTTTTTCTTCTTCGAGCATCTCTTCATCGCAGCTGCACTGCTGGGTGCTGGTGACTGTGGTAATGCCATTATTAGGCACCAGAGTTAACGGTCCATTTAGAAGCTGTGGTTGTGTATGTCATGTATTATATACACAGATACTAAATTTAAATTTGCAAAGTTAAGCACACAAACACTAGGAAGCACCGGAATTCGGGCTGCCCACACATCCTTGAGGCTTTTCACCCAACAGAGCAACCGACAGGAGTAGCAGGGAGTTATCCTTTATTTTCACTGGTACCAAAGGGGAATAACACACACATTTTGCCAGCGAGTTTCAGACGTGCACTGATGAGAGCACCTTCATCGCTACATACCCATGTTCTTTGTGTATCAAAAGCCTGCAAAGGCTCCATGTACTGTAAATTTTTTTGCTTTCGAGCAAAATCTTAACTACAGCCTTAACTCTTGCTCCAGCTACACGCGAGCGCAATACTGTGGTTAGGGACAGCAAAGTAAAACCCAGGATTTATGAGCTCAGCCACTTCACATCAAATGACGTTCCGCTTTGTGGTGGCAGAGCCGCCCTATCCTGAGAGAGGGAGACAAACTCCACTTTTAAAAACACAGTAAATTATTCAGCCAGCCAAAGACACTTGAAGTTAATAGACAGCTCTCTCCCTCCCCAGCACTACAAATTTTAGCCAATTAGTCATTACGCCACCCCTGTGAAGTGGGTTAATTTAAGTCTTCTCATTTTGCATAGGAAGGAGGCAGAAAGGTTAGGGGACTGGCCCAAGGCCACAAAGAGCACGCAGAGCTGAGCCTAGAAAGCAGACTTCTTGTTTCCCACGCCTACGTTTCAACAACTAGACTTGGCTTGCCTACATCAGAAAATAGGCTGGCATAGCTATAGCTGTGTAATTATATCGTAACAGTTTATGCCGGAATAACTCTCCTCGTGGACATTCTTCTCCAGATGGAAAGTGGCTTCCCGAAAGCTGTCCAGATGAATTCACTCAACAGCGCACACTTTGGGTTTTGCCTTTTTCCCTGCCCCCCCCCTTCATTTTGGGTGGTCAAAATTTCTGAGATGCGGGTCTCGGCAGCATTTTGAAGCCTTTGATCACTTTCACAGACCACTGAAAAGCCGGGACAAATGCAAAACATGTCATTGAAATGCTACAAGTCTAGTTGTCAAGATTTTTATGGTACTTTTCATCAAAAATGTTGAAAACTGAAAGCTTCCAGCTGGCTCTCTTTACAGGTAATAATTTAATAGCTAACAGCTTTTCTCCCAAAACTGCTGGAACCTGCTTGAACCATGGAAGCTGATAGGAAAAGCCAGACCCATCCTCTACAGTAATTATTTCTGATTTTTTTTTTAATCCTGCAGCTCTATAAGCTTTCAAAACCAAATGAATCTGTGAAAACAAGGAGTGACCAAAGGAGAAGTAAGGGACAGGGAATAAAATGAAAAGGTTTGCCTTTAAAAATCAGCTTGTTCACTCCAAGGACTGCAGAGATGAGCGCATCTTCACTACAGCAACATGGGGGTGAGTCACTGGTTTCAATGCAAAACGCAGCTCGGGGGCTGCAGCGAGAGCTCGGCGGTGACTTACATCCAGCACACACCTGCCCCCAAACGAGCCTCAGCAGAGCAGCTGGGATGAGCTTCAGGACCCAGCGACGGTTTGGGGATCAGGAGACATGGGTTCCCATCCGAGCACGCTCAGAGGTCCTCCGTGTAATTTCAGCCAAGTCGTTACTTCCCTGAACCGTGGGGAATAATGCCATGAGAGGTTTTCTTCTGCCGAGCAATGCTCCAAGAGCGATTCTCAGCTTTGCCATGGTCTTGTGCCGCATTGTAGAGGTCACTTCAGCACACCTCTGCAAGAGCCATTGCTGAAGCTCCTGTGGGGCTGGTGGGCAGCCCCTGCCCCTTCCATTTCCACCAGCAAGACGGAAGAAGCCTTCGCTGCCACACAAGCCCCGCTGCCTGAGGATCACAGCCTGTGCCGACAGCCACCTACTCTTGAGACCCACGTTGTCCCTCCGGACATTCGCTCAGTCTCCCCCGGGCCTGAGCTCTCCTGCTGTGTGCTGGAGACAGTAGAGCTCTCCTGTCTCACAGGGACTCTGGGAGGAGAGTTTAATTCCTCATCTCTTGTCAGTAATGTGCTTTGATAAGTTAGGGATGGGCTCAGCCTATTTTCAGCAAAATATTCAAACATTTAACCCATATATATGTGTGTGCATGCACATGCACGTGTGTGAGAATTATTACTCAAACAACCATGATGCTTTAATTTAAATTCTGGCTTAAATTGTCTAATCCTCCTTTTTTATATGCCTGTATAAGGTCAAGGTATTCCAGGAGTTCACTCCCAAAACACTTCTATTAGGTATTCACATACATAGTAGTTCATAGCGGCAAAAGCTCCAGCTTTATTTAGATTTATCGGACACACTGCTGTCTTGGACAGCTATGAACACCAAAGAGCGGCAGCCCCCTGCATCAGCTTTCTTGCCTTTAGACTGAACAGTCTCTTTTCTACCCACAGAAGGGGCACTTTGAAGACAACCTGGATCAAATCCCAACATACTTTGGGGAGGACAAACGTAGACCTTTCTTTACTTAGCTCTGTGTTGGGCAATCTCAAAACCATATAGGCACTAATCTATTCGTTATTCCGTCTCCTCCTCTTTACTACAATAAAGCACTGTTTTATGCTTATATGCATCAATAAAGAGACCTATAAAGAAAATAATGAACACCCTTTAATATCCTCAGAGTATACCCTATTAATTTTAAAAGGGACACAACATACTGTATCCCTTGTATTTCACCAGGATAAAAGCCTATAGATTAATTCCTGTTAAAACAGTTGGTATTTTCAGGACATGCAGATGTAATTTATGGAGAGGCACAATACTCATAATAGCTCAAAGGCCACAGAAACTGTAGATCTGTGTCTGTTACTGTAGTTGTACAGGCATTCATTGTACAGAGAGCAGTTGAAAAGGCAGCGTATGTAATCTGAATACTAAATTTGTGAATAGTTTCTCACTTGGGCTGGTTAGGCTTTTCAAGAGCAGCGGATGCTTTGTGGGGGACTTTGTAAAACATTCTGCTAATATATCACACAATGTTGCTGTATTTTCTTCTCTTATCTTTACTGTTAGAGCTTTATTCATGAAGACGCAATATTTGATTCTTAAAAGGGCACCAGCACCTGAATTCAGTGTGTTCCATGAGAGACAATTTTCACAATAAATACTTTTTCCTTCTTCTGTAAAGTGGACAACTTTAGGTATATATAGCCCAAAAGTGTACAAGAAACAAAGATCCTTGTCCTCACCCCTGTGTATTCCAATTGCTATATCCAACTTACTTGAAAAATAGTATTATATTTTCTGGTTTATTATCAATAATAAAAGTGTACAGGCTTTCTCTTTTATTATGGAGATATAAATGTATATGGATATATCATTTGTGAGGAAGGGAAATTCTAAAGTGTCCTAACAAAATTTAATTATGACACAAGCTACTAACAGAGAAGCCTTCAGCCTGGGATCATTTTAATTCTTCGCTTGTACAGCACCTAGCACAATGAGGATTTATGCATGACCTAGCTTCTCAGTTAGTACTTCAACAAAATTAAGAATTAACTCTTGCTTTGCTTATGGCTGGAAGTCACAGTACCAACAGAATGATATACATCCAGTACGGAACAGTGAACAGCACAGACTTGTGAAGTTCATGAAGCAGCTGATACAAAAGTACGCTAGACCGATTGAAATTACTGGAGTTGCTGGAGGCATTTAGGCAGATAGACAGTTGTTACTTGAGCTGAAATTTGGCAAAATTATAGGTGTCAATCATGCTGAGTATTGCAGAGTGCCAGGAAACGTTCAGTGACAAGCGACCAGGCTCATGGCTTTGCAACATCTGAAAATTTGGCGGGAATGGCGTTCTTCCATTTCTCTATGACAGGATTAATGTGAAGGCCAAAGGTCGCCACTTGGGTTTGAAGGGGCTTCTACAATACAGAAGACTTCTACCAAATTAGGCTGCAAACATCATGGGAGCAGGTCTTGTAAGGCTTCTGACACTGACCTCTGGGTTCAGCCTGATACACTGCAGATGCATCCTGGGTGAAATACAGACTAGATAAGGCCACCCTATGTATACATTTCTGAACACTACAGCTCTTTAATGCTTGGCAAAGAATTAAGGAATAAGGACATTTTCTCTCTGAATCCAACCTACCTATGCAGATCTCCCTGGTCAGCAGGCTGTTTCCTCTGATTCTACCTGTGTGGTTGCATGGTTTCCCTCAGTGTCCCAGGGTCTTTCTTCAAAACATCTGAATGATGTCCTGTTTATTCATTTCACTCCTCACTTTGACACATTGCCAAAAACACCACCACCCCTGTTCAGTGTGCATTGCTACAAAGAAGTCAGCATGGATTTACTGGCATGTACTTTACCCTCGTTAGTCCTTGTCTGTCTTTCTTCACCCTCTTTCCAGCACCATGCTGGTGCTTGTAGGGAGCTGGGAAGGGGTGGTGGGTCGAAAACCTGCTGTCGTGGTCAGGGACTAAACAGCTAAAGCATCTTTCAGGCTGACAGCAGCTCCTGCAGGTGTGGGGCTCTGTAACATGACCTGAACCAGAGAGCAGGCATGGCTGTCCCAGGCCAGGGGAGCAGGGCAGGGGTTAGTCCCCTCTGTGCTGCTCCACGCAACGTGTGGACTCAAGTGTGAAGTGCCACCACCACAGTGAGTGCTGGGGGTGAAAAGCTACCATCCGAACCAGTCTTTTGGTCATTGCAGAAATGGCAAGTCATCAGAGTCTCATGAGTAATTAAGTCAGAATGTAAAATTGTCTTAGAAAACAAAAACACCAAGCTCTTCACCTCCAGAAGTGGCATAGCTGAGCCAAAGGCTGTCATCTCAGAGGTGAAGGACAGCCTGGGAACTAAGCCTAAATCCAGATTGTGGATGACTCGCTTTCCATGCCTTGCTTCGGAGGAGGATATACATTTCTGCCCCCCATTTACAAGTGGTATTCTGCTATAGGTCCCTTGTTTAGCCTCCTGTTCCTCAGCTGCTCCTGGAGTCCATGGAGAAGACTGATGAGTTCAGATTGCAACTCCAAGCACCAAAATAAGATTCCTGCTTGTAGTCACTCTCTAGGGGAGCATTTCTTTCTCCAGTGACTGCATAAGGAGGCTGGAGATACCAGCCAGCTAAATCAGTTACTTACAGTGGGTGAATATCCCTGTTCATATTTCCATTCTTCATCTAGAAAATAAACCTGATAGTATTTATTCTCCTCTATCACTCTATCAACTGTGCTGAGAATCAGGAACACCTCAGCAAGAGGGGCAAGGACTTGGACACAGCTGCGATAGAGGCCGTGCGAGTGTGCAAGAGAGAGGCATTTAAAAAATAGGGGGGTTGTATGCCTCTTTTGTGCCCTTAAGCAAAGTGTCATCATAGGAGTGTCCTGTGATTTGATTGTGAAAATACGGTCACCTTAAATTAACTGGCCACATAATCAGTTTTAAAGTGAAGCCAGGTTAACTTTGATTAACCACAAGCAACAATTTAGATCGTAAAAATAAAACATTAGCATCTTTTTACGCTCCTCTCAGTGTTACATGAAACAATGTTTGACCACAGCCTTTTAAAGCTGCATGTTAATTTTTATTGCGAAGCATTCCTCTGTCTTGCTCCAGCAGCAGAGCTGATGGAGTGCTCCACAGACTTTTTTTAGGATACTGATTCATTTAGTGGTAGAGGTTTTCTTCATTTTTCAAAGTTTTATTTATTAGTCTTATTTTACTCCAGGAAAGGAATAACATTTCTCTACATCCAGACATTACCCACACATAACTGCACAAGCAGAAAAAACATAACTTCATTCTTGTGGTTTGAAAATGCCTCCTTTTTCCTGTTTGTTTGTTTTTAAGAGGGAAGCGTTTCCAATTCTTAGTTCTCCTTTGGGGATTTAAATCAATGAAGACATCATTCAGTCTCTATATTAAAAAGACAATCTTTTGTTCCCAGCTACTGCCAATACACTATCATTTTTTTCTGAGATCTGGAAGAACAAATGTTAGTTTCTGTTTATTAGCCACATGAGGGAATCTTCTAATTAAGATTTTGGGTGGTGGAACGAGATCAGTTATCTCTTCTTCACTGCACAGACCTGGGCTTATACCACTAATATCAACAGAAATTCTCCTACTGATTTCAGCTGAAAAGACCCCATCTAAAATCTACAAAAGTGGGGAAAAAAAAATCCGTTTTTACAGCATTATGAACGAGGACATAAATAGAAAAAACCTGCAGATATTATCATCGTCTTTTTCTTAAAAATCCTTCTCTGAATTGCTTTTACCAGTTTATTGCATCAGTACACTGCTAAAGAGTGTTCTTCTCATAACAAAACTTTCCTCATTCAAAACACAGAATTTGTTATGACACCCTATAGTAGGTATAGACCTACCAGGTCTTAGCTTACTCATTGCATTAGAAAGGCAAATGCTTTTCGTAGTGGCTTGCTGCTGGTTTCGTTTTGTTGGGATGGTTTTTAATTCAACAAGGGTATAATTTTACATTCAACTCTGAAGTCTGGTTAAAAATAGCAATTGAAAGCAATCTTTAAAATCTGAAGATGTTTTCCATGGAAATTGCATCCAAAGCAGCTAAAGGTCTTTAGCACTGACTTGATCCTAAAGTGATTTCCACACTATATTGAGTTGTCTTAATGGCTGACAGCAAAATCATGACCCTCCAGTGAGGTTATCCTAGATGGCTCATACAAGATCTTTGCACATTTGCACATATGACTCTTTGAAATAAAGTGTTGTCTGACTGTAGATGGTGGCTTCATCTTTCGTAAGACAAAAGAGCTCTGTTGAAAACCTTCACTTGTCATCGCCCTAAAATCAGACATACTGAAAGAGGAAAAACTAAGACAACGACTTCTCTAAGAATTACTATCTGTGACTGCTCTTAAAGTAGACAGAGCTATGAAAAAAACATAATGCCAAACCGTGGGGTTGGCCTCACATTTCTGCATGGGAATGTTTTTTTTCCACGGCCTCCTTTAAGAGGTAGTTTCTTACTTTAGATAAGGGAAGCTCCATCAGCTGCTTCATAGAGCAAAACTGACACCCACTGGCCACCCCCAGTACTTGACACACTTTGAGCTGTTGAGCAATCCTGGCTTCAGGGCAGAGCAGGAGAAAGGAGAGGTGTATCACCCTTCTAGCTCATCTCAGTCCTTCTTTACAGTCCATGACCTCAACTTTGCCAGTAGTAGTCCCAAAACCCTGCTGCCGTGGAGTGAGATGGTGCATGATGTAACACCTGGGCTCCCTTTCACTCCTTAGGGAATCAGTTGTATAAAGTCCTTTCACATGACAAATGGCAGGGCTCCTACCCCTTTCTGTAGGAAGCTAGAGCAGCTTTACTGACCATTTTTGACTGAAATTCAAGAAGACATTTCATTTGATCAATCTCGGGCTTGCTGTGCCCATGGTCCACCACACTTGCCTGCATCAGCTATTTGGAGGCAGCCATCCATGTGCTGGTTGCCACTCAGCCAGACTTACTGAATTCTGCTCCAGTGGAGGTCTGTATCTTCCGCATCCCACACTTCTCTGCGGGATCCTCGCTCCTCGTCACGCTGTCACCTCTGATCGCTGGAGCTTTATTATCAAGGCTCCCAAAGATAATGGTTCCTACCAGGTACTGTTGCCTGTGTGTTGTGAGAAGAAGTGTCCCCTTCTGCCTCCCTGTCACAGCACAGGCCAGAATTACATTGGCATTTATACATTTATTTTTCAATTGCATTGCTTGCTCATATCTGATTTGCTATCCACTTAGGCACTTCCAACATGACTGACTTGTAAGTAGCTCCTTCCTACCAAATATCTTTGTTTTAGATTATATTTATCTCCTCATGGAGAACTTCAATCTTCCCCGAGATTCAATCTAATTCTTTTATTTCCTCCACATGTCGTATATCATCATGTGCTACCCTCTGGTATTATTCCTTGCTCCCGTCTGGTCTTTGAAACTCTTCTCCACTGTCTTATATGTTACCGATTTCATAGAATACATTATATTCTACATGGAACATGTCACTTTGCTGAAAGGTACATTATTACATTTTATGTAACCAGCATGCCCTTTTATGCCTGCGTGATCAGTTTGCACTTTAGCTATTTTAAACATCCCGGTAGTACATTATTCAAAATCTAGAGCATGGTGTCTAAAGCACTGTCCTGTTTCTTATCACAGTTTCCAGGCAGTGTAGAGTAACTTATGTTGTTAAACGGGAAAGAATGTTTTTTGACACTGAGCAGCTTCATCCACGCACACTGTCCCTGCCTGTGCCCCTGCCTGAGCTGGCTCAGCCTCA